ACCACGACAAAACAAAAAATATATATTACATATATTGTTACAAAAGTATGGAACAGGGTGACGTCGGTTAGGCATAGCCCATTGCAGCCCCAAAAAGATCCCATCGAAGTTGCAATACAGATTTGCAAGCAGACTCACACTGACTTGGCCAAGCGTTCTTGGAGCTTATAACAAAGATTTGACATTTGGTAGAGCAACTCACATTGTTGTTCCCGTGATGTTAATGACTGAGATGTTATCCGTGATTCAGGGTCCCTGAGTAGCTGGTTGAGCTGAGAGCATAGCATGGAAGCTTCCTGATCATTGGCACAAGATTGGGTTACAAGTTGGAGCAGCTGACAGCTTTGATCTTGAGTTGAAGATGCTGGAGGAACAAGAAAAGGATGTTGAAGGAGCTGTGGAATCCTCCACCTTTTGTTGCGGTCCCATGCAAGACATTTTTTCATAAGATCAAGAAGCCATGGGTTGGAAACTGATCCATATGTTATTTCATGGTTTGGGTCTGTTATGACTTTGAACTTGGACCAGAACGTCTTGTACTCTGCAAAAGGTGTCCTTCCATAAACCATCTGATAAAGTATGCAGCCAAGGGACCAAATATCTGATGGTCGACCACATTTTATGGTATTTCCGTTTGCATCACTCTCATTGCACATGAATGCCTCTGGAGACATGTAACTCAAAGTACCTACCTGCAGTAGCAGGGTAAGCAAAATTTAAGACTTCAAAATGTCTCCTATGGTCATACCGTTGATAACTCAATAGAATATATTATGTCTTTTACGTCTTTGAAGTGATTGTTGCCATGCAGTATAAACATGAAAGTTATAACTTTCAGCACCATTCAGTTGATGGGGTTAGCAACTGTGTTTCCAACACACTATTTTGACTCAAAATTGTAAGAGGGAAATGAGGAATTGCTACCTGTGCGTCCCTTTGGATGTTGGTTGTATCACTCATGATGGCTTTGGCAATACCAAAATCAATTAGCTTTAGAGAACCTTTGACAAGAAGGAAATTAGCTGGTTTCAAGTCAGAGTGCACAATCCGTTCCTCGTGTATGGTGTTAACAGCTTCAAGTATTTGCTGAAAATTGTTACAACAACAAAATATGTGAATCTTCCATCTTACTGAATATGAAATGAGAAAGACCTAAAAGCTGAAGAGTGAAGACAAGGTCCACAATATGCCAATCCAGACATAATTATCAGAATAAAACATAATAGCCCATAGATTTCCTATCATTCACAACAAGGATCCTGATTCTGATTCCTGAGTAAAATTTGAAACAGAAAGGAAAGGACTTCAGGTAAAGGATGGCTTGAGAACCTGCCAGTAAAACCGAAGCCAGTTCTCATCTATGGTCTGATTGGAGCTATCCATTTCTTTCCGTTTCTGTGACAGCATGTGAGCTAAATCAATTTCTCCGTATTCAAGTACCATGTATATGTATCCATCATCCTTGACTCTGCCATCTTTATTAGTCAAGGAGCCACTCACAACTTCCCGGAGCAAATTCTTATCTGTCACCTAATTGCAAGCACAATTGTTAGAAATACTGCTAGATACGTATTTTGGATAAGCATTTCAGTCACTAAAAACAAAGAAATATTTAAAGTTGATACGATGAAAGTCCTCAAGACAGGAACATGCTACAGTGATTTCTAATCTGCATTCCTATCTACAGTCACACTAATTCAACCACAGCATTAACCTTATTTCTGTCAAGAACTCTATCTGCAGTGCAAGTAGAATAATATTAAAGGCATGATGATAAAAGATATAAAAGTTTTAAAAATTTTTCAACATTTCAAATGACACTGAAGAAGCAAACCTATACCAAATTAACATGGAGATGGAGTACCTCATAGTCTATCAGCTGTATGATGTTATTCTTTCCCTTCAACTTGTTTAAATACTCAATTTCCTGGCAAAATCCAAATGCAGTAGCATAGTCTCGACCCTTAAGCTTGATTTTCTTAAGTGCATATATAGTACAATCCGATGAAATAACTTTGTGGACCTCACTGCTCCCTCCACTGCCTATCTTACCAAGCCTTTGATAGAGCTTCCCATTGACTTTAAAGAACAGGTCAGGATCATAATTTCGTTTACGGGGCACAGATGTTGCTTTACTACTTGGAACTTTTTCTTGCTTTTCTGCTTTAGAGGGCTCCAACTTTGCATCTGAAGGCAAGTTTTTTGACAGTGAAGCCTGAGATTGTGCATTATTAACATCCCGTAAAAAATCTTGCCCTTTGATTGAGGTATCAGAAGGAGCAGAAGGATTGTTTGAAAGTTCAGTTTCCCTTGTCACATTGCCTTGTTGTTCCCTGGACAAATCAAATTCCTTACCCTGCATATGTGTATCCACATGTGAGGTAGAAGTCTGAGCGGCAACAGTTACCCGATCAACTAACATTTCACTTGTGTCTTTAAGGGAAGGAAATGAGTGCTGTATCATATCCCCTTGTCCTTGATTTACAGGTTGACCAATTAAGTTTAAATTTCCGACAGGTTCTATTGGCATATTAGAACTGCCTTCTTGATGAGTTTGAGAACCATATGGTGTCATCAACAGAGCTGAAGTTGAATGGATAGATGTTGTGGTAGCACATGATGACCCCAGAACTGAAGATTGCGTAACAGGTTGCCCCAAAAAGTTTCTAAAGTGATGCACCTGATCCTGAACAACACTTGTCCCTTTAGCCAAGGGTGAAGCAATCCCACTGTCTGCCTTCAAACTGATTTCAGGTGCCATGCTTCGACAGTGCTGGTTCTTTGAGTCACCATTGACAACAGTTGATGCTTCAATTTGACTGCTTGCCTCCCATTCCATTTCTGTCAATGCAAGTGAATCCATATGAGACAATATGTTCTCCAATCTAGTGGCCATTTGATCATCGGCCCCTCTGTATGGATAGGGAAGGGGGCATGTATTGCAAGCACAATAACAAAATTCAGGAATCATACAGAATCCCAATAATTATTAATTTTGTCGCAAAGTCATGAGCTAAGGCCCAAGATGACGAACTCAACACATAACCAGAAATCACAGGAATAGAGAAAAACATTTTACCCTGAGAAATGGCCTTGTGTCCTGTAGAAAATTGTACTCTTCTCTGGTTACAGTGCTGAGCTTCTACACGCGACAAAGGAATTGGATTGTTCTCTTTAAAGTCAGTAAGCGCCTTTGGTTGAACCCTCCGCACATCAAGCAAGTTGAGATTCTCATCAAAGCACCTGGTGATGTTTCCTGCAAAGGAAGGTTGAGTAACTGATGCCACTTCTTGGCATCCAGCAGCAACACCAGTGGCAGCATTATTTGGCTGCAAAATTGAGTCCTTCATCATATGACCATGACTCAACGGAGCACAATCCCGGGAATTGTGAGCATCAACATGAGGAACCACATTCAAACAGGAAATTCTGGAAGCCTCAGCTTGCGGAACCACCACACGCCTGGGCCTTATACCAGTTATCTGCGTTGTACCTGGATATCCCCCAGAAACACAGCCAAAAAAAAATACATTTTAAAACCTCTGGCACTAACAGTATACTCAATTTCATAAGAAGAAATTGCATTTCTTTCAGTGTTCAGCATCTCCTTCTCTAAAAGCCCTAACTGCAACTAAAGCTACAGATAGAACATGTCAAAAATGGTACAAACGCCCAAATTCTAAAATTGAAAAAAAACCCTAAGTTCACTCAAAACTTACAGAAAACGAATGAAATAGACTTGATATCTTAACATATGAAATTAGCATACGAAGCAAAGAGAAGAGTGAGGGATACCTCGGTGGCGCTTAAAGGCAGCTTGGACGTGCCGGAGGAAGTGCGGCGGGGAGGAAGAGGAAGAAGTGGAGGATGAGGAATCCGGATTTGAGATCGGACGCACCAGATTGGTTGGTGGTGGAAGCGGAAGGTTAGCCTCCCCGTCCATGTCCGTATCTCAACGGCATTTCCGGGCAACGAAAATGGAGAATTGAGAGAAAAATGGCGGGAACAGATTCAGTCGGAGGTTAGGGGTCTCCGACGGTGTCCATGAAGAAGTAGGAAATTCGGTGACTCAACGGAGAGCAGAGAAGAGGATTTCCGAGTTTGAATAACGTGATTGGCGCTCACGCCGGAATAATTTTCGTTTGGACTACAATGGGCCGTTCTTGGACTCTTTATTCACGAGGTAGTATGGGCCTAAATTCTTGGGTTAGCTAATGGGCCTACATAGCATGGCAGTCCATATCATTACATAATTTTGGGCTCTTTGTTGTGCTATTAGAAAACATGTGGGCCTACAACCCCAAACAATTCTTCCGCATAGATTTCATGCAATCAGTAGTTTAAAACATATTTCCCATCTAAACTCTTTTAAACGTAAAATATAGATTATTGAATGGATAAGGGCTCTTAATATTAAGGAGTCAAATTTCATTTGATAATTAATATAGTATAGAATGATACAGTTCAAATTGTATTTTATATATATATATATATATATATTTGTTGATAGTTTGATTTATCAAAAAAAGTGTTTAAGCAACCAAAAAAATATGAATATTATGTCTAATTTTAGGTAGTTTAAAAATTTTATGTTTTGTGAAGTAATATTGTAGAGTGGATGTATACTAAATTACGAGAATTACTTAAGTAAAAATTGAAATGGGATAAAATTTGGTTTTCGGATCCAATAGTTCACCCCCAAATCATAAGTACTTGGGTGTACTTGGTAGAAAATTCGATTCCTACCAATGTCTCGAAAACAAATATCCCCATCCCCAAATTCGTCCGTGTTCAAAAAAAAAAAAAAATTGAAAAGGGATAGCCATAATGCTTTCTCTCCTTTTTCCACTTATTAACTTTTTTCAAAATAATTAACAATCATTTTTCATATATCTTTTACAAGGTTAAACTTGAGTGTAGTGTGCATTCTCAAACTATAAGAGGAGAGGTGACTTCATTTCCATGTTTGAACTTTGAATTGTTTCTAAAAATTCCATGTATTCCCACAACGGTTAACATAGTATTTTTTTAAGTTCTATTTCCACCTTTAACAATTCAAATGGAGTACACAAAATGTTGTCTTTTTAGCATTAAGAAAGTTTTTGAAAAGCAGAAAATAGAGATAATTAATTCCAACACTGCATTTCTTTGGTTATTAAAGTAGAAACCTTTATTCCATGAGGCGTAATTTTGAGGCAAAAGGAATCAAGCAGCTTTTTCCCATTAGAGAAGCCAGAACCACCCAGTCATAATTGTGTAATTAGTGTTTAGCACTTGGTCCAATAAATCTCACCTTCATAAAATAATAATAGAAAAAAATGGGTGCAACATATATGAAACAAAACTGTAATTCATGCTAGGTAGCCGGTTGAGTGTTGTATTTTTTTTTTTTTTTTTAAATCGGAATTGGACATAAGAGACACTATTATGTTATTTTTTAATTCATTATATATGTATATTATGTAATTTAAATTTAAAAATTTTTATTTTTACTGAACAAAAATTATTATTGAGACATTTAAATAATTTAGTTACTATTATAATTTGTCTTTCAACTTAACGAATATTTTAGTATACATTTACCTTTTTTTTTTTTTTAATAGACTACAATTTTTAAAAAATAAAAATGGAAAATAAAGCCAAGAACCCAAAACTTGATTGAATGGATAGCAAATAATACCACTTCTACTCACCTTATAAGTCAGATTATATATATATATTTTTTGATGAGGGAATTCAATCCTTAACTTTCAACTGAGAAATACACCTTATAAGTCGACTTATATCTGTTGGTCGTGTGACCCAATTGCTATATTTACTTTGTTTAAGAAAAGTGACCAGCATCATATGTTACGGCATTCACTTTAATAACAACTTTTTTTGGGCCGTCGAGGCACCATGTGAAAAAAAATGTAAAACATTGTGAAACAAAACCTAGGAGTAAAGAGACTGAGATCAACTTTAATTAAATTTACAACTTGTGGATTTAACTGGGGGAATTGTACTAACTTTATGTTTTACATAAAGAAATCAAATAGAGACAATGAACATTAAAAAATAAATAAAATAGAGATAATGCCAAGGGTCCCATATATCAAATAGGAGTATGTTTCTTGTCCAGATGATCCAAGTATCTTTGGATGAGATCAACGGTGGTACAGTCACTAGAGATTGGATCTTACTGTAACATAATATAATAGCCCCAGTACAACTTCCAAATCTTGTGTAACTCTGTATTTCTTGTCTCAGCTTCATGTCTCTAAAGACACAATCTGAGATTCTGATACATTACTGAAAGAAACAAAAAGAATCCACCATTTTGTTCTTTCTACTCTTGTAGATCTCATCTCAAATGGCTAAACTTAGTGACCTGAGAAAACCCATCAAGGAACTTCACCAAAACCATAAGAACCGGCCTCAAAAGGCTGAGAAGTCACCGTCTTGGGCAGTTATGAGAGGCTTTTTCACATCTAAGCATCATCTCCAACCCCAGCA